TTATCCACCACCTCTAGTGACAACGAGTTGGAGATCTTCTCCTCAAACTCACTGTCACAATTTAAAAAAAAATAAACCCTCTGCCATGTCATTCATTCACAGAGTTCTGTGAATGGGAAAACTACAACTACCATCAGGCTTCGTCGCTAACAGCTTGTAGTTTTCATTGAACCACCAGAGGACTGGTGAGCCTTCTAGGTAGCTCGTTCATTCATGGTTCCTGCCATTGTGTACACTGACAGTCTGAAGGAGCCATGCATTGCTTTATAGGCTCCTAATAAAAAAAATGCTATTTTTTTTTTACCTGCAAAAAGATGTGCATTTATTTTAATAATTAAAGGTGAACTTATTCTTTAACTCCTGGAAGTTGTGGGGTGGGGTTTTCATGGATTAGATTTGTTTTTCCAACTTATCCCACAGATGCTTGTTTTGATTGAGATCTGGAGGGCAAGTCAACAGCTCAAACTCGTTTAGTCTTCCACAAGCCATCCTTAAGTAAATCAGACCAGGCCACCTTCTTCAGTTACTCTGTGGTCCAGTTCTGATGCTTAGGTGCCCATTTTAGACACTATTGGTTGTGGGCATGTGTTAGCATGGGCAACCTGACTGGTCTGCGGATATACAGCCTCATACGCAACAAACTGCACTGCACAACATTCACTGTGCTCTGATACTGTACCTTTCAATTGGAATCAGCATTAACTGTTTCAGCAATGTGAGCTACAGTAGCTCTTCTATTGGATTGAACAACACAGGCCAGCCTTCACTCTCCATGTACATCAGTAAGCCTTGGCCACCCATGACCCTGTTGCCAGTTCACCGATTTTCCTTCCTTGGACCATTTTTGTTAGGTCCTGACCAGGGGCGGCCTGACAACTCACGGGGCCCCTGGGCAATAGGGGATCATGGGGCCCCTGTGACCTTGCCCACACTCAAAGCACACCCACAAAAGCCTATAAAAGTTACCAGTGGCATTTCATGGGGTCCCCTACTCGAATGCTCGAGTGCTCGAATGGTCAGTCCGCCCCTGGTCCTGACCACTGCAAACCAGGAACATCCCTCAAGAGCTGCAGTCTTGAAGATGCTAGGAGAAAGAAAAAACAAGCGCCATCTAGGTGTAGGATTAAGATCAACATTTTAATAGTCATAAGCAAATGCACTCACAAGGAAACATGTGACTGAGCATACACAACTCTGTAAAAGGCTGTCATCAATTCCAGTCCCAGACCGCAAAGAGATGGAGGCTGTGGACCCGCTGGCAGGATGTTCTGGAGGTTCCCAGGGCTTCCTGATTGGCATGGAACGCAGCAAGGCAAGCGGAAGTGAAGTCGCGACCAGAAATGATAACCAAAAATGGCAGTGCGTTGTGGAGCATGCGCTCCTTCTTCAGGCCATGGGGAAACCATCTTTGAGTATACGAAGGACTTCATCTCTCCAGCCACCAACTTTGTGCCCCCACATCTGTAATGGGACCTTGGCTGTCATCGAACCATGGACTGTCTGACCCGCTGCTTTAAGAGTCCTTTATAGTGTAACATTTGTTTACAATATGTTTATATCCAACCCTCATCCTATATATATATATATATATATATATATATATAAACTTGACACATTACTATCTGACCACATCCTTCTGAAGCAGTCATGATTGGATAATGAAATGTGTCAACGGCTTGGCCGGATGACATCATTACACAAACAGGAACCGGAAGTTGGCCATCTTGAATAGGTTACATATATATAAAGTATAAAGGACTCTTAAAGCAGCGCATCAGCTGGTCCATGGCTCACTGACAGTCAAAGTCCCATTACAGGTGTGGGGGCACAAAGTAGATAAGAAGAGATAAAGGCCATCATATACTCAAATATGGCTTCCCCATGGCCTGAAGAAGGAGCGCATGCTTCACAATGCGTCGCCATTTTTGGTCAACATTTCTTGTCATGATGTCACTTCCGCCTGCCTTGCTGCATTCCATGCCGATCAGGAAGCCCTGGGAGCCTCCAGAACATCCTGTCAGCGGGCCCACAGCCTCCATCTCCTTGCTGTCTGGGACCGGTATTGATGACAGCCTTTTACAAAGTTCTATATGCTCAGTCACATCTTTCCTTGTGACTGCTTTGACTATTAAAATGTTGATCTTAATACTAAACCTAGATGTTGCTTGTTTTCCTTTTCTCTTAGCTCATTCACAGAGTCATCTCCTACTCTAATTACAAGCTCCCTCCTAGTGGACGTATTGACCTCATTAGGTCCTTTGGACTTTTTTAGTTAGAGTCACTTACTCCCATCATTTTTACCTAGTAGCGCTCAATCTGTTTATCATCAGTCTTGGAGATGCTCTGACCCAGTCATCTAGACATTAAAATTTAGCCTTTGTCAAAGTCATTTAAATCCTTACGCTTGCCCATTATTCTGCTTTCAACATATCGACTTCAAGAACAGCATGTTCACTTGCTGCCTAATATATCCCACCGACTTTCAGATGTCATTGTAAAAAAATAAGCAATGTTATCCACTTTACCTGTCAGTGGTCATAATGTTAAGGCTGTGCGCTGTATATAGATATCGTAAAATTGTTAAATGTACTTTTTCATTCATGTTGTACTTAAAGCTCAGAACACGCAAGATTGATTTTTTTGCCCATCCCTTTTTCCCACCCTCTTCTAACCTATTCTGCCCCAACCTTAACTTTATGGTCCCCCTTCACACTCCTCAGTCCAACGTTAGATCTCTTTTGGACCCTAAGAGGACTCCTCCATTAGCCAGAAAGTGGGAATTGTCCACATAGGCAGTGAACACCCAGCAGAAGGACCCATGAAGTAAACGGAGGAGAACATAGAGGGAGAAGGACCTAATGCTGGATGATCACACGATTGTGACCCGGCCCTGGATGAGGTTGGGGGGGGGGGGTAGGAGTGGGAGGGGGCTACTTTTTTCCTGGAGTTGGGCTTTAAAGTGACACTAAATGTAAAAATATGCATTCAAGTTTTTAACTCAGGTAATTACCTTGTATGGCTCTCGGTCTCCTCCACAGTCCAGCTTTTTTGATGATCTCATATCGCAACCCTCGCCTGCTCACTCCCAAAATGGACTAGGGGGACTATGGGATTTGTGGTGTGTATAGAACAGTGCACATGATCACAACTAACATGCAGTGCTTGTTCCAAACAAATTAAAGTGGGGGGGGTTCATTGAGGACATGACAAGGAGCAGAAAAACACAGTAAAAAATTATTTAATGAAAAAAAAGATTACAGGGTCATCATTGCAATGAATGTGTATAGACTATTTTTGGAGACTAAGGATATTGTTCAGTGTCACTTTAAGAAAAATAACACATGGAAGGTACATTTTATGAACTCTATAGTTTAGAAAAAGAAACAGTTTTGGCTATGCGTAAATTTTAAATATTCAATCTGTGATACATTTATTCTGGTAATCTGGTGAATGCAAAGATCTGTTGAAGGGTCTGGCTGATCTTCAGGTCCCAGCAGAGCTCCACGGGACCAAAGGACATCTGTGGATGCTCAGGAGTTTCCCGCATATGTGCAAACATGCTGAGATCTGGGACTTCCATAACTACTCAAACTTCATGCAATCACAGGAAAGCCCCAATGCAAGCACAGTTGTGCTGCTTAGGCCCTGCTGGAACCCAAAGCCCTGCAGTACATCTGCATATACACAGCATCTGGTAGCACGAATGCACCTGTCAGTGAAACTGCCTCTTGGGAAGGAGAATGTGGACATCCCAGGAGACAGCAGTGGGTGTCCATCAGTCTTGCTTAGACAAGAAAGAAGGATTGCATTGCAGCACAAAAATGTCAGATCCAATTATGAAAGAAGGAGGGGAAAGAAGGCAGGCAAAAGTCATTTTGCAGGATGAAGGTCCACGTTAAGCCTTTTAAGCAGGATTTATGTTCACGGTTTTATTTTTTTTTTTTGTTTCTATGCATATCACTCATATACAACTCCATGCTCATCCACTTAATAATACTGGCTTATGCCTTTGCACAATTATTAAAACTTCTAATCCTTTCCTGCAATTTCAAAAGTACTTTTACTCTCTAATTAATTGTAAGAGAACAATCAGCAGGCATCTTTCCCCTTCAATGACAAAATATTGTTATATTTAATAGCAGGTAATTGCTGCAGTTCAAAATCATTTCATGACTATGTCTCTCTCTCAGTTTGCAATAGTTTAATTTTTTTTTTTAGTTTTGGATAGGGGTTTAAGATACTTGTCAGATTTTTTTTTCTTCTGCTATCTGTGTCCAGTCAGATTTTAGTTGTCACCAGAACTGGTGTTTAAAGAAGAATGTCACCTAAAAGGGGAAGTTCTGCTTTTCTTTCTCTTCCCCCCTCTTCTACCTTATTTGGAATGTCTTTTGGGAAAGGGAGGGGGTGGATATCTGATTTCGACAGGTACCCCCCCCCCCCCCATGCCACTCTGACTGCCTAGGTGATCTGAGCTGAAACCTGACCCCCCCCCCCCCCCCCCCCCACAGTCGGCTGCCCACAGTTAACCACTTCATCTCCAGACACTTTTACCCCCTTTCTGTCCAATCCAATTTTCAGCTTTTTTAGCGCTGTCACACTTTGAATGACAATTGCACGGTCATGCAACACTGTTCCCATATGAATTTTTTAGCATTTTTTTAGACAGATAAAACTTTATATTGGTGGTATTTATTCAACACTGGGATTTTTATTTTTTTTTGCTATATAAATGAAAAAGTCCAAAAATTTTGAAAAAGTGTTTTTTCTTATAAAATTTTGCAAATAAATAATATTTCTTCATAAATCTTGGCCAAAATGTATTCAGTTATCTTTTTTTTTTTTTTTTGGGTTTAACATACTGTCACCCTAGTGACACTGTACTACTTGTGGAGGGGTGATGATTTTTTTTTTTCACACCGATTGCTTTTTCAGCCTTTATGGGTGTAAAAGCAATCATTTCTCCTTCTCTCTGGCTGCATTCTTGCATCCATTGAGAAATAATGTGTGAGCTGTGATTGGTCACAGCTTGTCACATGGTACAATTTGTTGTGAACAGCCTTGTACCATGTGATCTCTGTGATCATTCACAGATTTCACACGCAGTAAGCAATGATGTCAGAAGTGACATCTTGCTTACACCTATTCATGTGATCACTGATTGGCCAATCAGTGATCACATGATCGGGACCTCCCACAGAGGTCCCGTACAGCGGGCACCAGATCGCAGTGCTGTGTGCACCCAGGGAGCGTGCACAGTCCGAAATGGCAAGCGCTGTTTATGAACGGCAACCCACCCCTGCACTGCCACTGTCCGGCCGTTTATATAAAACGGCCGGTCGGGAAGTGGTTAAGATACCAGTGTTGCAGAACCAAAGACCATTGAAGAGCCGGGTCAGGTAAGGACATAGCTGGATCCTAGGACAGGTAAGGGTGTGGGTTTTTTTTCAAATTCAGCAGCTAGAATATTTGTAGCTGCTGACTTTTACCTTGTTATTTCCAGGGTGAAGAACTGCTTTAAATGGGAAAATACCCCTCAACTCCTTTTCTTGTGACAAATAAAAAAATGCTAGATTTCTCATTACTTTCTGTATCATAGACAATGGCCACAGGACACACAGATAGGGTACATTTCCCCAGCAAGGACACAGACAGCAAAAAAAACATGACATAGGTTCCAACCTGTAGCCCACTCTATCCACAACTGAAAAAAAAAAAAGTTCTAAATTTACATACACTTTAATTTTAAGACTTTTAATTTTGATTTATTGGTTTTTGTCCAATCACTTTCCTCTATGCAAGGAAACTAAACAATGCAAACTGACCTCTTTCTTAGTATTTGCAATTGCTATATAAACAGTAGCAATAAAACTAAGGTCCACATTACAGCAGGAGGCCACAAACCATGTTCTTAATTAATTACCACATGAGGTTAAGTCCAAATACAGCATTAACATACCAAGAGGAGTATTTGTTTCAATCACATACCTTTAATAAATGGGTTAAATATAACCCAAAAATCTGCACTTAGAGGAATTAGCATCAATATATGATAGCTGGACACTATACCTTGATACCAGGTATCATTCACCATATGATTATTTCATTTATGGACACTTTGTGAGGATCTATGATTATTTTTCTAATATTATTATCATTTTTGTTTGAGATGTTTTGAGCACTGCACTTTATGTGAACAGTGTTTAATAAATGCATGTCTGAAGTCCATAGGAATCTAGCTTTTTTCCTGTAGAATGAATCTCTGTTAAAGGCAAAACTATATCATGGACATACATTATCAAAACTGCACTTAGCCAAGGCTTCTGTCATGTCAATAGAATTTTAATTTTGAAAATTACATCTAGATATATTTTACACACACAAAATGTACAGTATATATTATTCTACAACTAGAGGACAAAAAGAGGCACTTGTTCAATCCAATGCTCAGATTCGATGAGTATGACGAAAGTCCCTGAGAATGTCTTCCAGGAATTTGTAAAATGCTTGGTAGTAGTATTCTTGACTAGTTCTAAAGTAAAGATCTTAAGTGATATTCTTTTGCAATCTTTGTTTATTTAGGTGCCTTGTTAAATCCTCTATCCTCAGGTCTTTCAGCTGCACCAAGTGCTCCAGGCGCTGGACTTTCATCTGAAGTATCTGCCAAGGACATAGATAAAGTTAGCCACCCAGCAGAGCCTTAATCTACACAGCAGAGTATATGCAATTTAGGCTTATGAATCATGGAAAACTTGTACAGTACATGGAATTTTGATCAGATCACTCAAAGAGTAAGTAATATGATAACCTGTTGTTTCAGTCTTAGAATAAAGTATTTTCTTACCTCCCTAGGCATTATCAATGTGTGCTACAGTAATTATGTGATCTGTAAATATATATCCAACTAGACGCTGTCTGCAGCACTTTACTGAGAACCAAAAGTTCTTTCTGTCCCACAAAGAAGCTCATATCTTTTGTCCAAACAGTCTAGGAGTGTGAGTAAGGAAAGGTATGTGGGTCCTAATTACCCCCACATCAACCAGCGCTATCTAGAATGTCCATGAGCAGGATCTAGGCTAGAGAGCCTCAGCCAGCAGACCTGCCTTCTATAGGACACAGTGAACGGCTGCACTATTGGGGCTCAGTCACACGCAGGGCTGTGGATAAGGGGGTACCACCAGTCTTCCTGTATGGGGCCCATGCCAGCAGAGGGGCCCAGGCAGCTGGGTGAATCAGATGTGGGCAGGGAGATGATGTCAAGGCAGGAGGGCAATTACAGGCATACCCCCTGTATGGCTCTCTCAGCATTAGCTGTAAGCTGGCTTCTTCTCCTCTCCGCTCCTTCCAGCTGGCTTTCAGCTGCTGCATAGATAGCATTACAGGGGGTCGGTTCCACTAATTGCCCCCTTGCACACATTACCCTCCCTGTACACCATATGTTTCCCCCTGTGTGCCCCCACAAGACTGCTGGCTTCCCTCCTCTCCTTCCCATTGGCAGCTGCAGGCACACAGTAGGATCCTTCAGCATGGAGAATGTGGGAAAGGTCTGGTAAATATGTCACATTTACCAACCCCTTTCCTTCCTGAATGAATGAATACAATGAGTGATTGGTACTGATTGCTCGCTGTGTTCATTCATAACTTAAGCATAGTAACCTGTGTTTTCTTGTGGGGAGGGGGTCCTATCAGGGTGGTTGTATGGGGCCCCGTGGTTTCGAACAGCAGCCCTGGTCACACGTGAGGTGGAGGGGGGGGAATTAAAACCTAGCAGTTGAATCAGGGTTTTACTGCCCATCAACCGCTACCCGCTTTAGCTGCAGAGGCAGCAGTCAGGGGTGTATGCATCTGCGATGCTTTTGCAGCTGTGGTAGGAATTATAACCCCTGTACACCCACTGATCGCTACCCATTCAAGTGAATGTGGGTACTTGTGTGGAGTCCAAGGAGTTAAAGACGATGATAAGAAGGCATTACAACACTGCTAAAACTGCTCTCTGAAGAGAGATAGATAGATGGATCTTCAGAAAGCATCTCATTTGTGAATGAGTGCTTATGGTGACACTAGGAATGGTGTGGCAGTGATCAGGGACACTGGGACTAGTGTGGTTTTGATCAGGGACACTGGGACTAGTGTGGCAGTGATCAGGTAGACCAAGGGCGGACTGACCATTCCAACACTCGGGCATTGCCCGAGGGCCCGGGGTCAGTAGGAGGCCCCATGAAATGCCCATGGTACCTTTTATAGGCTTTTTTGGGTGTGCTTTCAGTGTGGGCAAGGACACAGGGGTCCCATGATCCCCTATTGCCCGGGCCCCATGAGTTGTCAGCTTGCCCCTGAGGTAGACTGTGACTGGTGTGGCGGGGATTAGGGACAATGGCTGGCGGCACTGACATACAGTGATATCAGAGCAGACGGCATTGTACATGATTACCACCATGCCAGTACAATGTCACCAGGGTGAAAGTATTGTAAATTTAAAAAAAAAAAAAATTACATTTTTAATCTTTTTTTTAGCATACTGTCATCAGACCAGTGCAGACACTATGCTACTGCTCGGAATGAAATGAAAGCCTTTAGTTACTACTACTACTGCGAACGCTGTTTCTGATCACAGATCGCACCGCTGTGAGTGAGAAGTGGTCAAAAAGTAACCCCACTTTTGTGAAGAAAAAAGTCACCTCTGCTGGATCAATGCACATTGCAAGGATGGTAACAAACTTTGTTGCAGGCTCCTACCTACCCGTTTCTGCTGTACAGAAAAAGCTGGTTATTTGTGTTAATGTGCAGAGTGAATCTGAATGGAAGTGACTTTTTCATTATTAATCAGCTCATGCACTTGAAGTATCTTGTCAAAACTGACATTTTTGTTACAAATCCGATTCTCAGCACCCCTGTAACTTAGTGCAGACTTTTGGTAAAATCAGTGAGTCAATCGCACATACAGGAAATTACATTTCTGGGAACATATGAAGTATATTGATTTCAATCAGCAGACTAAAGCAGTGTGTACACACAGTACTTTTTTATTGTTCAACCAGATCCCCGAATCCACAAAAGCAATGTGGATGCAGGGATCTCCCCCACCACGCTATTGTATTCTGACAGGGGGACTCCACTTTTCTCCTGTCAGAATACACTGATCAGCACTGCAGCCATTGGCTGCAAGCGCTGATCAAATGGTGGTTTTCCAGAATGACTGCTCAACAGAAGTGGGCATCATTAGACCTGCTTCTGTTGAACAGACAGCAGTGCAATTGCACCAAAATTCAGCTGGTTCAGCAGGAACCAGATGAATTTCGGTACGTGTGTACTGGGCTTTATAGATTTTCATTGTGAGAAGAAACTATTATTATTATTATACAGGATTTATATAGCGCCAACAGTTTGCTCAGCGCTTTACAATATAATGGAAGACAATACAGCAACAATACAGTTCAATACAAGAGGGATAGGAGGGCCCTGCTCCTTGGAGCTTACAATCTAGGAGGGGGGGGCTAGTGGTACAAAAGGTAGTAACTGTGGGGGAGGGACTGGTAGGAAGAGTAGAAGATTCCATTATTAGCTGACGGCATGATAGGCTTCCCTGAAGAGATAGGTTTTCAGAGATCGCCTAAAAGTGAGCAGAGTAGGCGATAGTCTGATAAATTGGGGTAGAGAGTTCCAGAGGATGGGGGAAGCTCCGGAGAAGTCCTAAAAGAGGAGCATGGAAGGAGGAGACAAGGGAGCTAGAGAGCAGGAGGTTGTGCGAGGAGCTAAGAGTACGGTTTGGGTGATATTTGGAGACAAGATCGGTGATGTAATTTGGGGCAGAGTTATAAATGGCTTTATATGTTATTGTTAATGTTTTGAATTGTATCCGTTGGGCAATGGGAAGCCAGTGGAGGGATTGGCAGAGAGGGGTGGCTGATACAGAACGGTTAGTAAGATGGATGAGTCTGGCAGCAGCATTCATGATAGACTGAAGAGGGGCTAGCCTGCGATGAGGTAGGCCAATGAGGAGGGAGTTACAAAAGGCAAGGCGAGAGATAACAAGGGAGTGAAAAAGTTGCTTAGTGGTTTCCGAGGTTAGGAACGGCCGTATCTTGGAGATGTTGCGGAGGTGAAGTCTACAAGATTTAGACAGCGATTGGATTTGGGGTTGAAAGGACAGATGGCAGTCTAGGATTGCACCTAGTACCCTGGCATGAGGGGAGGACTGATGATTGTGTTATTGATCGTGATGGAGATGTCAGGGGTGGGGGCATGGGCTGGAGGGAATACTAAGAGCTCAAGAAACGGAGAAAACCATTGTATGGCAATTCCAAGCAGGATGCAAAGCCTGTGTATGCAATGAATTAAGATGGTTTTTGTGTGTACATACACTATATTGCCAAAAGTATTGGGACACCTGCCTTTACACGCATATTAACTTTAATGGCATCCCAGTCTTAGTCCGTAGGGTTCAATATTGAGTTGGCCCACCTTATGCAGCTATAACAGCTTCAACTCTTCTGGGAAGGCTGTCCACAGGGTTTAGGAGTATCTATGGAAATGTTTGACCATTCTTCCAGAAGCGCATCTGTGAGGTCAGGCACTAATGTCGGATGAGAAGGCCTGGCTCGCAGTCTCCACTCTAATTCATCCCAACGGTGTTCTATCGGGTTGAGGTCAGGATTCTGCGCAGGCCAGTCAAGTTCCTCCATCTCAAACTCACTCATCCATGTCTTTACGGGCCTTGCATTGTGCACTGGTGCACAGACATGTTGGAACAGGAAGGGGCCATCCCCAAAATGTCTTGGTATGCTGAAGCCTTCAGAGTTCCCTTCACTGGAACTAAGGGGCCAAGCCCAACCTCTGAAAAACAACCTCACCATAATTCCCTCTCCACCAAACTTTACACTTGGCATAATGCAGTCAGGCAACTACCGTTCTCCTGGCAACCGCCAAACCCAGACACATCCATTAGATTGCCAGACAGAGAAACGTGATTCATCACTCCAGAGAACGTCTTCACTGCTCTAGAGTCCAGTGGCGGTGTGCTTTACACCACGGCATCCGACTCTTTGCATTGTACTTGGTGATGTAAGGCTTGAATGCAGCTGCTTGGCCATGGAAACCCATTCCATGAAGCTCTCTATGCACTGTTGTGCTAATCTGAAAGCCACATGAAGTTTGGAGGTCTTTAGCTGTTGAATCTGAAGACAGTTGGTGACTTCTGTGCACTGTGTGCTTCAGCATGCGCTGACCCCACTCTGTCATTTTACATGGCCTACCACTTCATGTCTGAGTTGTTGATGTTCCCAGTTGCTTCCACTTTGTTATAATACCACTAACAGCTGACTATGGAATATCCAGTAGCAAGGAAATTTCACAGATGGACTCATTTCACAGGTGGCAACCTATCATGGTACTAGGGGCGGACTGACCATTTGGAAACTCGGGCACTGCCTGAGGGCCTGGGGTCAGTAGGGGGCCCCATGAGATGCCCCTGGTACCTTTTTCATAGGCTTTTTTAAGTTTGGGCAAGGACACAGGGGCCCCATGATCCCCTATTGCCCGGGGGGCATCTGAGTTGTCAGTCCGCCCCTGCACGGTACCACACTTGAATTCACTGAGCTCCTGTAAGCAACCCATTCTTTCAAAAAATGTTTGTAGAAGCAGTCTGCATGCCTAGGTGCTTG